GCCCTCAGATGCTTTGCTCTTCAGAGGTCCTCTGCCACCTGCCTATCAGACGCCAGGCCCCACTCCTTTCCAGGAGCTCTGCCTGTCAGAGGGTTTCTTATCCTGCCTCTACCCCTACCCTCCAGATCCCCAGCACTGTCCCTACATTCCTCATTTCCTTTCAATATCACCAGGTCCTGGCATCTGATACTCCCCTGGGAATAGGAGTAGGGTGGGCATTGCTGTAGCCCAATCCCCTTCTCTACTCCTCTGCCATTGGGAAAACTGAGGCCTGAGTAAAATCCCTCTTTGAGGCTTGGGGGAAGCTGATACCCCTTCTACTGCAGAGGCACAGGAGGTTGGAAGCCCTCTAGGGTATGTGTCTTTGTGTCTGGGTTCAAGTGCGGGGACCCTACCTGTGGCCACCAGCTTCCTCTCTTGTTTATTTCCCCAGCTTTTTCTAGCAAGCTGAGCTTTTCTACCCCCACTAGACTTCCCAACCCCCAGCCCTCAGTCCAAGTGCTGCCCATCAGGCAGGCTTAGACTGCAATCCCAGCTTTGCCACTCACCAGCTGAGTTGACTTGGGAGGTAATTCTCCTCTCTGTGCTTCAAATTCCTTATACATAGAATGGTACTGATACCTCATGGGATCGTTTGAGGGTGCCATGATGTAATGCCAAGAAAGGACTCAGCTTGGAGACTTGCACATGGCCAGCACACAGAAGTAGCGACGTTCCCTATTTCCATGGGCCACTTTTCCACTTCTGGCCCTGCTATACTGTTCTCCATTTGTAATTAGGAGATAGGTCAACTCGGAGAAGTGGTATGTGTAGTAGTTCAGAGTAGATATTCCGGAGCCAAACTGCCCAGACAGGAACCCCAGCTCTGCCTTTTTTCTAGTTGTCCAGCCTGGGCAGGTGACTTAACTTCTGTACCTCAGTTTTCTCAGCTGCAACATAAGAATGGTAATAGCACTTAAAGCAGTGCCCAGTACCTGGTAAGCATTAGTGGTGAATTAGCTAATACTCAGAGCCATGTCCTTCCATGTGGACAAAGTCTCAGGGGTCACCTAGGAAGTTATCTGACCAGAGAAATGCCTGCTAATTCCTACAGAGGGGCACTTGGAGGAAATTTCCCAATTAGGAGTCCTGAGCCTTCACAAAACTGTTATTTCTAAGATTTTCTGGTGGTTTCTGAGTTTCCCGTAGCCTAGAAGGAGGGGGTGACATGGAGCTTGCCTGCCGAGAAGCTGAATATGAGATGATCAAAACATGATCAAAACCGTATGAAGCTGGCTCTGAACAAACACTCAACCACACAGCAGAGATAGCCCCAGCTGTCTTGAGAACTGGATGTGCTCCTGGTGGGGGGCGGGGCATGGTGGGAAAAGGCCATGTTCAGTTCCATTTTTGTTAATCATATGTGTATTGGGGCTTATTTTGTACCAGACCCTGTCAGAGCAATGTTGGCAATGGAGTTGGATGAGGCCCAACCTTTCCCTCGGGAGCTCTCTCAACAAATAGAAAAGGGAGCTTTTCATCATCCAAAGGCTAAGAGAAACCTGAGCAGAGGTGTCAGATACTTTTAGGAAGATATTGGCTACTGAGATATTGGCCTTTATGATGGGAGGTATCACCCAGCTGCAGGCCTTGAACCTGTAACAGATGCCATGTGCCCTAGAGAGGAAGGTGTCTATCTAGAGGCAGGCAACAAGGCCTCCACATCCTAACTGGGGAGCTAGGAGTCCACACCATTCCTCAGAGGGCTGGCAATCTCTAGTGGGCTCCTAGCCCACCAGAACTCTGGATAAATGAAGATGCAACAATCATCAGTGACTCACCATGAAGCAGAAAGCAGATGTTGATTAAATGGAGTCCCAGGGCTGAGAATGTTAGAGTGGGGCAGGATGCTCAGTTGCTCCAGTTGCTCAGATTGCTGAGCTTATGTACCTGGCAGGGAGATAAGACCCAGTGTCCAGGATGGGTTGATATGGTTGGGGGGTGGGAAAAAGAGGAAGGCAAAAAGCTAGGATGGAAAGCACTGGCTATAGAAGGGGTGGGGAGGGTTGCATGCCAGCTCCCCTAGGGCTCTGGTGTCCACCCCCTCAGATTTCCTCCAAATTCTTCATTTCCCAGGCTTCCAGGGTCAATTGAATCCAAGGCACTTCACTAGCTCCTAGACTATTTTCTCTGTTTCTGAGCCTCAGTTCTCCTTTGATCTCAGAAGGTGGCCCCAGGGAGTGTTTTCTGGATGTGCAAGACTTTGTGGGGTATTTATGCAAATGCTGGCGGTTTAGTATAAGAACTAAAGAATCAGGAGCCAAGTTGTTGTTTGGAAGGAGTCTCGAAAATCAAGCTTCTCTCTCCCATCTGACAAATGGGGAAACTGGGTCTTGGGGTGCAGAATGGAAAAGGAACTTGCCCAGAGTCGCACAATGAGTGGGGCAGAGACAGGATCATGGGACTCTGGCCCAGGCAGTGAATTCAGGATTTGCTCTGTACCTCCTGGCAGCAGTGTCATGGAGGTAGTATCCAGGGGCCCCTGTCCTGGTAGCATCTTCTTCAAGGCTCCTACTCTCACCTGCCCTGCTCTGTCTGTGTGTTCCTCCAATAGTCCAGAGAGATCACTTTTGTTGCTTCTGTGGCAGACTGACTTCCTGTAAATGTCACTGGCACTGAGAGGGTTTTCAGGCAATATGCTCCCCCCACCCCCGCCATGTGCATTTGTCCTCTGAGACACCAGCCTGCTGGGATGCGGGGCATGGGATCCACAGCTGGGAGACGTAGAACGCCATGGCTGGCTGGCTCGGTGGATGGATGAAAGAATGGCTGGGTGGGAAGTGGGTGAGTGGATGGTTGGATGGATGGAGGTCTGATGAATGCAGAAACAGCTGAATGAATGGATGCATGGATGCATGATCCCAGTGATTCTAAGACCTGGGATACCCAAGGTTTTGAGCACTTGCATCTGGGAGCAGAGGAGAGGAAGAGGATGTCATGCTGTCAGTGAGGAAGGGCTGCCACAACTCCCTCAACATTTCTCCCTTTTCTTTTTTTTTTTTTGAGACGGAGTCTCGCTCTGTCACTCAGGCTGGAGTGCAGTGGCTGGATCTCAGCTCACTGCAAGCTCCGCCTCCCGGGTTTACGCCATTCTCCTGCCTCAGCCTCCCAAGTCGCTGGGACTACAGGCGCCCGCCACCTCGCACGGTTAGTTTTTTGTACTTTTTAGTAGAGACAGGGTTTCACCGTGTTAGCCAGGATGGTCTTGATCTCTTGACCTCGTGATCCGCCCGTCTCGGCCTCCCAAAGTGCTGGGATTACAGGCTTGAGCCACCGCGCCCAGCCCATTTCTCCCTTTTCAAGGCCTGCCCAGGCCTGGTTTTGTTGCTGGCTGAGGTATACCTGATATGACGACGGCCTCTCTTCCCAGGCAAGGGTGCTCAATCTGGCCGCCTTGCTCTCATCTGACCCCAGTGGCACAGACTTGTCACTCCCAGCTGGAGAGGGCCTTAGAGAACACCATCTGGAGGCCAGCCTGCTTCCCCAGGGGACTTCTCAAGTACGAGGCCCTCACTCTGTACAGAGAAGCCCTGTGGGATGCTCCAAGAGTCACACGGCTCTCATCTCCCAGAGCTGAGATTCCTTTCTGGTCTCATCTGGGGAGATGTCTCTCGTCTCAGTGTTGCCTTTGAGCCCTGGAGCCCATGTAGACTGTAGGGGTGGTGGTAGGGCTCCTCTATGCGGAATCTCTTGTGTTTCCCTGGCTACTCCTTCTTCCACCCCGTGGGCCTCTCTCCTGTCTCTGACCTCTGACTTCCAGATCTGTCTGTCAGTGTCCCTGAGAGGCATGGCCCCAGGATTGTAAAGATGGGGCTGGACCTTGCTCAGTTTGGCTGAGAGAGGAAGGCTGGCCTGGAAGTCAGATTCTGTATGGACAGAATGGACAGATGGGCCCTCAGCCCTGGCTTCTGAGTCTTTCCTCACATATTTATTCATTCACTAAACAAATATTTATTGAGGGACTGCCTTGAGCCAAGCAGCATGCTGGACACCAGAAAAACAGTGGAACCCAAAAGAGATGTGATCCCAGTCCAAGAACATGGACAAATTTGGACAAACCAGCAAATATAAGTCAGTATGATGAATGCTGTGAGGGGCTACTACAGGAGGCTACCTAACCCAGCCTGGGGTCAGGGAAGGCTCCCTGGATGAAGAGGCATCTGGACCCAGATGGGAAGCCAGGTGGGCAGAGGAGAGAGAAGAGTGTGCCAGACCAAGGGAAGGGCGTGGGTGGCTGGGTATTTTCCCCCTAGGCAGTAGAGCTGGGTCCTTTGCCCCACTCCACCTCCCCCAGCCATGAGAGCTGATTCCCCACAACTCCCTTCCCCTGAGTGACACTGGATCCCTCAGACACCTGGATGCTTGAACACCTGGTTTGGAGAGCAAAGACTGGGAGGCATGAGACACTGGCTCACTCAGGGAACTGATCCAAGCTTAGTGTTGCTGAACTATGGAAAGCAATGAGGCTGATCCTGAGAGCAGCAGGTTGTTAAGTGAAGGTGAGCGAGGAGATCCCTTAGGCCACAGAAGAGAAAATAGATACTGCCATTCTACCTCCCCCTTCCTATTCCTGTCCTCCTGGCTAGACAGCAAACAGACAGCAGACAGATCTATGGGTGCCAGGTGGCTTTTTTTTTTTTTTTTTCTTTAAGGCTAGTCAAGCAGTGGGAGTGGAGAAGGAAGAAAGAAATCTGTAACTGGTTGTGATCAATTAGTTGTAAACACCAGGTGGTTTTATTGGTAGCATTGCAGTCTGGGGGTGGAGCAGCTTTACTCTGACCATGCTCACCCTCTTGCTCACACTCACACGCACACACACCCCAGGCCCTGTCCTGGCTGGTCAGGTCTGGTGCAGAGGAGCTGGAGGCCTGGTGCTTCCTTCTGGTCCTCAGTTCCCCAGATTAGGTAATAATTCACAACGCTTCACTCGGACTCCAGGCTCCCTCTGGTGCTGTCATGGGTTAACTGCTGCGGCGCTTCATCTAGAGGAGGCAGGAAAGGAAGGGTCACAGGCTGGAATCTTAGACAGGAGCTCAGAGAGAGGATACAGGGCCAGGGAGGCCAGGCTTGCCTTGGTTGAGGTCCTCTGCAGTCTCTGGATGATGCGTTCTACCCAGGACTGGTCTGGGGGTGCACAGAGCTGGCGGCCCCTCAGTGTGGTGAACCTGGGGTGAGAGGTCAGAGAGAATGGAGCCCCAGAATCCAGCGTATCTGGGGACCATGTCTGGGAACCTGTTTCAGGGATTTCCTTGAAGGGGTTGGGCTTGGCATGGAGAAGGGGAATAAGAAGGTGGGAGTCTCAGCAGGGGCTAAAAAGGGAGATGAGGCTAGACACCCTCCCCACCACTCACACCACAGCAGGCACCCTGCAGCCATCCTTGATGAGAAGGTAGCGGAAATTCCTCACGATGTACCCGGGGATGGGTTTCTGGGTCACAGACAGGCAGCAGTCTTCAGCATCATTGGTGCCACTCAGAGTTGGGGCTGGGATGGGGAAAGAAGGTGACAGGACACAGGGCCCTTGAGGGTGGCGTGGCCATGGCCCTAGCTCGGATTAAGGACACCTCTGTGTGTGTATGTGTGTGTGTGTGTTTGCGTGTGTGTGATGGGGTAGGGGAGGAGTTAGACCTGGTATTTAACCAGCATGCACCAATATGGCTCTGGCTCTGCTGGTTGCTAAACATATTGTCATACTTCTAAACTGTTTTGCAAATAACCACTGCCCTGAGCCCCACAAATGACTTCCTGCTGCCCTGATCACCCCAACCTCTCTCCCAAGACAATCCAGCAAGTAAAGAGTTAATGCAAGTCACAGTGTGGCAGGGGTGTGGGGTGGGGTAGGCTGGTGTTAGGAGCCTTATTAATTGCTAAATTTTTGAATATCAGCCTTGGCTTGGTGTCTGCCATTCTCCCTACCTTAAGCAAATCTCCTTCTGCCTGGGAAACGGAGGCAGCAGGAAATAGAGCTTGCAGAGACAGCCACAGCCATAGGCCCCAGGATGTACTAAGAGACACACCCGCATTGGAATTCAGGGGCACAGGGATACCCACACTAACAGGCACACATGCAGGGACCCGCCAGGCTCACCGAAACATGCAGACCTAAGCATTCGCCTGAACTCACCATGTCCCTTACGTCCAGTGCCAAGCAATCTGAGATCTAGACATTACCCACTGCCAGCCCCTCACTGCCCCTGACCCTGACTCTTCCTTCAGCCTTACCTGGGGAGGTCCAGAGAACCAGCAGGCTGAGGGCCAGTAGCAGGGCCATGGAGGGTGAACAGAGGCAGGCCAATGGTGAATATGTAAGTGCCAGCTGTCTTGGTGTGTGCAGGATCTGTGCGAGGCTGCAGGGCGACTGGGATGCAGGGGTGAAATGCAAGGTATGAATGATGTGAGGCTGGGAATGTGAGTCCTGCAGCTGACTCCTATTTATGGCCAGAGCTTCACTTTCTCTGCCTGAAATTCCCCTTCATGTCCCATTCTGTGATTCCCCTGTTACCTCCCTCTTTCTGGCAGAATCTCACTCTGCCCCTCCTTCTTCCCCACTGCGGTTGCCCTTTCCTTCTGCTTTCCTTGGCTCCTGCTCTGAGAACTTAAGTCTGCAGTCTGGCCCAGTAAAGGGGGTTGTGCACTGTTTCTCCAGAGAAAGGGATTGCTCTGTCATCCCATCAGTGGCATTTGCATCATCAATCATGGAGCTGGGGTTCAGAAGTGATGGTCAAAGGTGGGGCTCCCTTCCTTAGGTTTATCCCTTGTCCTCACTGGTGCTTCTTTCTTGGGAGGCTGATGGTGAAGAAGGCTCCCTGGCACCCTCAGGACAACCATGAGAGCCTGGGGTGGCCTCCAAGGTCCCACCATATGGGAACCAGTCCTTCCCTTGGGGCAAGCAGAGCTGAAAGGCCAGGTACCTTGGGAAGAGACCCAGGACCCCCATCCCACATCTCTGGCCTCTGGGGCTCAGCAAGCCCTCCGTTTCCTCTGTTTACCATTTTCCTATGTCCAACACCTGGGTCAAAGGAACAGCTGGAGGGAGACTGGCTTGGAATAGGCCCCTTCATTTTCCCCCTTTTCTCAGTCCTGGGAACCAAGAGGGGATTTCTAAGGAGAGGGGCTGGCCAGCTCATATTCAGACAAATCTTAAAATTTCAAGGAATCGGCTGATGGAGGAGGGGACAAGTGACTTCCCCCTTATGAGAAAGGTCAGAAGAGAAGGCCTCGAAAGAGAAACTAAATATGAAACGCCCATTCACCCTTCATCACCCAAGTCCTAGACCCTCTCTTGGATGCGGAGAGGGAGGGGGAACATTTCCCTCTTAAATTTCTGACTTAGCTTCTTTCCATTCATTAATCATAATAATAGTAATGGTATTTTTTGATTGTTTGCTATGTGCTAGGCTCTATGTCAAGGACTTTACCACTATTACCTTGCTTAACTTTCCCAAAACAATATAATTGATGTAGTTTTTCTTATTTTCGCGTTATTATTCTTATTTTACCCATAAGGAACATGAGGCTCAGAGCACAAAGCCACACAGCTAGTAAGTACTGGAGCATGATTTGGACCCAGGTGTGCTCTAGGGTTTACACTCTTTACCTTCACCCCACACCACCTGTCTGCCACTTGGTCATGGCACAGCACGGGTAGTACACGGTGCAGAGGAGGGAGACTCTGCAGACAGAGTGCCTAGCTTGGGATTCAGATTCCACCACTTACTAACTGCGACAAGATGAAAATTCTCCAGTTTCTGTGTCTTAGTGTCCTTATTTGTAAAATGGGAATGGTAGATCTACATCTCAGGATTAAATGAGGTACCCTGAATAAAGCCCTTAAAAGCCCTTAGCTTAGAGGCTGATGCACAATAAGTTCTGTTAGCCATTGTTCTTCTTTTGTCCTTTCTTTTTTTTTTTGGGACAGAGTCTCCCTCTGTCACCCAGGCTAGAGTGCAGTGGCGTGATCTTGGCTCACTGCAAGCTCTGCCTCCCGGGTTCACGCCATTCTCCTGCCTCAGCCTCCTGAGTAGCTGGGATTATAGGCACCTACCACCACGCCCGGCTAATTTTTGTATTTTTAGTAGAGGTGAGGTTTCACCATATTGGCTAGGCTGGTTTCGAACTCCTGACCTCAAATGATCTGCTCGCCTCTGCTTCTCAAACTGTTGGGATTACAGGCGTGAGCCACCATGGCTTTCATTAATTCATCCATCCATCCCTCTTTCCATTGATCTATCCATTCCTCTGTCCATGGTGGTTCTGGTTATTCTGTTTGACCCAATCTATCCATTTTCCACTCTTCATGGCCCTGCTCTGCTCCCTGGAAGGCTGACCTCTGCAGATAGCATTACTCAGGGTCTCCTGCTCTCTGGCTTCTGTTTGGGGCTGGCCCATGGGAAGCAGCAACAGGAGATCAGTGGTGGAAGGAGAGAGGCTGGGGTATTAATTCCCCAAATCTTTCATCTTGTTGCAGTTCTGGCAGTGAATAATTTCCCTTGTGGCAGTTGTTCTCAAAGAGTAGCCTTTGGGCAGCAGCAGCAGCATCACTTGGGAGCTTGTTAGAAACATGAATTCTTAGATTTTACTTCCCACTTACCACATCTGAGACTGAGGATGGGGTCCAGCAAACTGCATTTTCACACACCCTCCAGGTGACTCTGATACATGCTAAAGTTTGAGATCCAAACAAGCCTCAGAGATACCATCAAATGTATACCTCATCCCAGGAGTCTTAGGAGGAGAATAGAGAGAATAGGGCATTAAAAAAATTGAAGAAATAATGACAAAACATCTGAAATCTGATGAAAAGTATGAATATACATATCCAAGAAGTTCACTGTGCCCAGCCTGCTATGTTATTGTTTATCAGAGATCTTTGTTTCTTTGTGTGGCTGTAAGTTATTATTTTTTGTTCTTTTGTTTCATTCTGAAGGTCTCCCTTTAGCATTTCTTTGTTTGTTTGTTTTTTGTTTTTTATTTCTCCCTTTAGCTTTTCTTATGGGCAGGTCTACTATTAATGAACTTCATAAGTTTTGTTTATCTGGAACAGGAGTTTGAGACCAACCTGGCCAACATGGTGAAACTCCATTTCAACTCCTGACTCCTCAGCTACTCAGGAGGCTGATGCAGGAGAATCCCAAGGCTCACATTGACCTCCCAAAGTGGTCTACAGATTGAGGCCCACTGGTCTAGAGTGATCCTTTTGGGTTGCCTCCCTTCCACGGGTCTATCTCTATTCTTTTTTTTTTGACACAGAGTCTCAATATGTCACCCAGGCTGGAGTGCAGTGGCACAATCTCAGCTCACTGCAGCCTCTGCCTCCCACGTTCAAGCAATTCTCCTGCCTCAGCCACCTGAGTAGCTGGGATTACAGGGACCTGCCACCACGCCCGGCTAATTTTTTTTGTATTTTTAGTGGAGACGGGGTTTCATCATGTTGGGCAGGCTGGTCTTGAACTCCTGACCTCAGGTGATCCACCCGCCTTGGCCTCCCAAAGTGCAGGGATTACAGGCGTGAGCCACCGTGCCTGGCCTAATTTTTGTATTTTTAATAAAGATGAGGTTTCACCATGTTGGCTGGTCTCGTCTCAAATTTCTGACCTCAGGTGATCCACTCACCTCAGCCTCCCAAAGTGCTGGCATGACAGGCTTTGGAAACACTGTTCCCTCCTCTTGCCCCTTCAAGCCTTTGTATGGTAATGGCTTCTCCCCATTGCTAGACCCCAACAGCTTATCATCCCATGTTGGTTCCTTAATATTGACCCAATCTCTTAAATTGTCCTTTTATTAAAATCTTTCCAATTAAATTTTTTTGAGTGTATGTGATATTGTGAAATATATATCTGGTCTTCATCTTCCTTTTCTGACATATAGCTCCTGAAATCCTTGGAATCTTGGGATAGATTGTGTCTTTTGTATGCTAATGAGATAACTGGTGGCTGGAGGCCTCTAGACAGCCTCTGGATAGGAGCTGGTCAGCAGAAGAACCAGCCACATGGTTAGAGAGTTGGAACATTCTCTAACATTCTCTAGTGGTGGGGAGTCCCACCCACTCCCCACTTCTGGGTAGGGGAAGAGGGGTTGAAGCTTGAGTTGATAAACCAATGGCTGATGATGTAATCAATCATACCTATGTACTGATACTTCCATTAAAAACCCGAAAGGATAAAGTTGGCGTAGGGGCTTCTGGATAGCTGAAAACATGGAGGTTCTGGAGGAGGGTGCCCAGAGAGGGCATGGAAGGTCCACACCTTTTTTTTTTTTCCCATACCTCACTCTATGCATCCCTTTCATCTGGCTGTTTATCTGTCCTTTCTAATATCCTTTATAATAAATGGGTAAGCATAAGTAAATGTTTCCCTGACTTCTGTAAGCCGCTCTAGCAAATTAATTGAACCCCAGGTGGGTTGTGGAAACCCCTATTTATAGCGGGTCACTCAGAAGCATAGGCCAAAATCTGTGCTTGCAATTGGTATCTGAAGTAGGGGGGCAGTCTTGTGGAACTGAACCCTCAACTTGTGGGATCTGATGCTACCTCCAGGTAAATGATGTCAGAATTGAATTGAATTAGAGGACACCCATCTGGTGTCCACTGAGGAACTGTCTGCCAGAGAATTTCTCGGCGGGGAGAAAAATCCCACACACTTATGAATAACCAGAGGTCACAGAAGTATTGAGTGGTGAGAGGGAGTAGAGAGTAGGGAAACATGGTTTTCCCTGTATCCTTGGAGTGTGCTATGTTTCCTGCCAGGGTTCTCACTGATATAATTGGTAGTACCAGGACATAGATTCCCAAAATGCAATTCTAGGATTGGCTTGCCCTTGATGAGGGCATGGATAGTCTCTGTGCTTGGAAAAAGAGGATACAAGTAATCTGGAGCATGTAGAAGCATCACAGTCACTTAGACTATCACTCGTGAGGCATGGATGAAACGTTGGAAGTTAAGACATTAGGAGATAAAGTACCTGAGGCACTTACTTACTATGGCCACAAATGATGATTGTAAATGGTGATTACTATATTGTTACTATAGTACTATAGTACTATATTGTTACTATAGTACTATATTGAGGCCAGAACCTCACTGGCCATTTCTGATTGTGCTAGTAAAATTCCAATACAAAAGATAAGGTTAGGCCAGGCACAGTGGCTCACGCCTGTAATCCCAACATTCTGGGAGGCTGAGGGGGGCAGATCACTTGAGGTCAGGAGTTTGAGACCAGCTTGACCAACATGGCGAAACCCTGTCTCTACTAAAAATAGAAAAATTAGCCAGG